GGAACATCTGGTTGGATTAAGCATGGTATACAAAGCATGTCTACAGTAAGACAAACCAGAAGGAGTAAGAGTGAAAAAAAAGGTGTTATGTAATTTAAAGAAGACATAAGGCTTAAATAAACATATCTTCAAAATCTCCTTCTTGTATCTCATAGGAGGTTTCATATGCTTCTGGTGAGCAGACAAATGGCTGCCTTAGGCTAACTAGAAAACATCCAAACGTTGAGTGAGATAATTTTTAGGGTGAATTTGTCCAATTTCTTGCTCTGTCTTAGAGTCGTCTTTCAGTATCCAAGATCCTCACAGATATAAAAATCCATGGATGCTCAGGAACCTTATATAAAATGGTGTAGTATTTACATGAAACCTTTCCAACCTTCCCATGTACTTTAAGTCATCTCTAGATTATGGAAATCCTAACAAAATCAAAGTACTACGTATATAGTTGTTGCACTGGACTGGAGAGTGAATAATGGCAAGAAATAAGGGTCTGTAGATGCTCAGCACAAATGTAATTCTTTTGGATATTCAGTCTGTAATTGGTTGAAGTTGCAGACACAGAACTGCCGATGCGGAGGACTGATTGATTGCCTATTTTATATGGGGGATGTCAGAAAACACACATTAAACTAAGAGCTACCAGTTTGTGCAAAGCCATGTGTGGATTTTCTCATATTTTATAACCTTGCTACTCCAAGTGCGCTCCTTAGATCAGTAGCACTCACATCACCTAGGAGTTTGTCAGAAACGCATGACCCGAGGCCCTACTCTGCAAGTACTGATTCAGAATCTACACTTTAATAAAAGTCTCAGATAATCCGTTCACATGCTAAAATTTGAGAAGTACCACTTTATAGAAATCACGCCACTCTGCCTGGCCCCATTTTTGATTAATCTCACCAGGTACCTACAAAGACTGAATTGTGTGAACATGAATTACTTTCGGTATTCTCAGCAATAATTTATTTAATCCATGTTGTCTTTCTCCTTTTTTTTTTTTTTCTTCCTGCCAGCCACGTGCTTCTAGGCCACCAATATACATTGTCCTTAGGAAAGATTACTTACTACAGCCAACTCTGTGGAAGGCACATCTATCTAAACTGTAACTGGAAATCCGCCTTTAAACAAAATCACACAATATGCTCCAAAGCCATGTGTGTGATTGTAGAATACCTAAGAGAAATACTATGTTTTCACCACTAGGTGGAAATAGAGTAATTTTGAGTATAATTTTTCAGGGCCATGAACTACCGTAGCAGTAATTCATAAGCTGAAAATGACCAAAGAAATCATTTAGACTAATAATTCTCATCCCCTCAGTTTCATAGATGATACAACTGGAGTTCCGAGATATTAAGTAAAATTGGATCTGTCTCACAAAAGGCAGTCTTCCTAGAGCTCCTAGAGAAAGAGCTGCTATTAATTCCGGATTCTTCAGTCATTTTTATCCTGAAGAATAATCTGATTCTCTTCCAGCATGAAGGTAGACATGATTTTGCACCCAGAAAACCTATTCACTGTTACTGAACATACATGACCAGCACAGTTTCCAATGTTTCCAAGGATAGGCTAGGATAAAACTATGATTTCTAGCTTCCTATAGTATAATTAATCATAGTCAGGTGATAATTCTCCTTTTCCCAATGAAGTAACACTCAACAATCTCTATAGCACTGTGAGAGACTTTAACCAGATTTGTTTTTACATTTTTGGATTTTACTCCTCATATTGTTTTCATGTTAAGTGGGTTTTAGTAAGCGGTTAACAGAGTGGTTAATGCATTTCAGAGCTTGAAATTCATGACTACCATTTGTAAGAAAGGAAGAGGACCTGAATGTCTGAGTTTGAGGAGCATGAGAAGTAATGTACTCTAAGGGCGCACACGCACACACACACACACGCACACACACACACACACACAAGGCATCTGAGAATAAGGAATTACATGTGTTGCCCAGTAGTCACCATTCCCTTCTTTGTTCCATGGAAGACACTGACAGGTATTTTGGCCTTATGTCTTCCCATTTCTTTTTTTCATCACAAAAGGATTATTTCTGTTCATTACAAACATGATTGTGTTTACTTAAAGATCGATTTTAGGAAATGCCTTGGGGTCAAAAGCTATTTTTTTTTTAATATTTACTTGAAAGGCAGAGTTAGAGAGAGAGAGAGGGAGAAGGAAAGATAGAAAGAGATCTTCCAACAGCTGGTTTGCTCCCAAAATAGCTTGCAACGGTTGGAGTTGGTGAGGCTGAAGCCAGGAGCCAAGAGCCAGGAGCTTCCTCTGTGTCTCCCACATGGGTGCAGGAGCCCAAACACCTGGGCCATCTTCTGTTGCTTTCCCAGGTGCATTAACAGGAAACTGGATCAAGACATGAACCAGTGCCCATATATGATAAGGGCATCACAGGTGGTGGCTTAACCAGCCATACCTCTTTTGGGGCTGGCCCCAAAAGCTACTTCTTAACTACTTAAGTATCCAGTACTCTAGTGCCATTCTCCTTTTGATATTTCCATAACATGCTTGAGTGGGTTAACCTGAAAATTAGCATCCTAGTACTGAGACCTGGCTGTTAGTACCATAGTCTATACAAAAATGGGTGAAAGGTATTAAAACAGCACAATCAGAGCCCAAATTTAAACACATAGGTGAAACCTCCCCTTGCGTGAAAGCTAGCACTTTTTTTTTTTAAGATTTATTTATTTGTTTGAAATTACACAGAGAAAGGAGAGGCAGAGTGAGAGAGGTCTTCCATTTGCTGGTTCACTCCCCAGATGGCTGCAATGGCCGGAGCTACGCTGATCCAAAGCCAGGAGCTTCTTTTGGGTCTCCCACGTGGGTGCAGGGCCCAAGGGCTTGGATCATCTTCTACTGCTTTCCCAGGCCAGAGCAGAGAGCTGACTGGAAGTGGAGCAGCCAGGACTCAAACCGGCACCCATATAAGATGCAGGCACTGCAGGCCAGGGCATTAACCCGCTGTGCCACAGCGCCAGCCCCGGAAGCTAGCACTTTGCACCTAGTTTCTCAAAACAGGAACATTTCCTGAGCAGGAAAGGCTAGAATGCAGGACAACCATGAGGCCCAAGCCACTCAGTGTTCAAAGGGTGCCCCAAGGAAGACCGGGCTAACCCTAAAATTAGAGCAGGGAGTTAATATGAAAGGGGCAGTGCAGAGGAGTAAATATCTTTGGCATGCTGGAAGCTGGGAGGCCAACCTCTGGTTTCAGTTGTCTGAAGGCACAAGGGCAAGTGTCTTGGCCAGGTGGCTGTGGCCTCTACTCTCTGTCCCATGGCAGGTGGGGCAAGCTCCAGGAAGCGTAATGTTTTACACACAAGTCTAGGGATGATCGTGGGATTAGAATGAAAAGCAGAGAGTATTTACTGGGGGTAAATACACAGGAGTCTGAGAAGAAACCATCAAAGGCCCATCAGTTGGATGTTAGGACCCAGAGACACAACCCCTAAAATGACTGCAGGAAATCAGAATATTCCACCCAGTAATGTCTTTTTAGCGTATTTTGGGCTGTTCAATCTGGGAAATTCCAGGCACGACAGCAGCTTTGGAAAGCTATTCTTTGGTAAAAGAAATTTGCAATCTATAAAAGAAATCACATTCAAGTATACACGTTCCTCGACCTGATAAGGTTCCCTCCCAACCAACTCATCACAAAATTGAAAATATTGCAAATTAAAAAAGTATTTAATCTCCCAAACCAACCAAACATCAGCGCTTAGCCTAGCTGCCTTAACCGTACTCAGAACACTTCTATCAGCCTGCCGCTGGGCGAGTTCAGCGCCTCGGGTAATTTATCCAGTGCGGTACAGAAAGTGAAACACAGCATGGTTTTATGGGTCAGCTTTCCCACTCTGATAAAGTTAAAAATGTCCAAGTCGAATCACTGTCAGCCTGCATTAGGAAGAGGACAGCTTGGCGATAACCGTTAATAGCCGGGAGAGGAGCTGCAGAAGAGAAAACCTCCACCCTGGTACAATCCCTCTTCGCACCCTCCCCTATCTTGCGTCCCCACTACCCGCTGGCCAGCTAGCCCCAGATCCCCTTTTTCCTGTAGCGGCAGCAGCTTCTCCCTCCGTTCCAGTCACGGAACCTCCTTGGAGTCTCCAAGGGTGTGGGACCGCCACGCCCAGGTATGTCATGAGACGTGCTTTCTCTCCCGTTAATCTGTTCACGTCCATTTAACCCACAGTGCAGCCAAAGATCACTCTTTTGAGTGGAAGGAAGTCATTTTTCGCATCCCCATAGGGGAATATAAGCTAAGAAAACATTCTCGAATGACAAGGACAGCCCACTGAAGCTGAAATTTCCCGTAGAGCTGCAGTCTACAGACCGAATTTTCTGGCCACCCTCCACTGCATCTAGCACTTTCTGGTAAAACTGCAGGGTTCCCCCTTAGGCGCACACCCACCTCGAGGCCCTAATTGCCCCAAGGGTGGCCTGAGGGTGGTGGGGACAGTGGGTTCTCTTAGGAGGATGTGGGTTTGTCTGCTGCCAAAAATTACAGGTTTTTAAAGAGGCTATCAGTTCATCCATCAACCAAGCAACCCAACCATGCAGCCGATCAATCAGTTCTGCGCCCAGCGAGGACTTAACAACGTGATGTCCCTGGTTGGCTGGAAAGGAAAAGCAGCTGCAGCTTAATGGTCAAAGGGCGGGTAGCGGGGAAGGCTCGCGGGGGCCCCCCGGTGGCCCCTCCGGCTTTCTGGGCCTGCGGAGGAGGCGGGTCGTGCAGGGTCTGGCGTGCGGGGAGGAGCTGGGCGAGTCTCCGCTTGCAGGAGGCGCCCGACGAGCTGCGGCGTCCCGGGGCAGGTGGAGCCGGTTCGCACCTCCTGATCCGGCGAGGACGGCCCCGGGCACCCGGGGGGCGGGGCGGGGGCCGGGCGAGGCACGCCTCCCATTGGCTGCCCGGTGTGGCCTCGCACAGGCCGCGCCCTATAAAGCAGCCGCCGGCGGCGGGAGGCGCACGCCGCTCTCCGCGCTCGGGACCCTACTCTGCTCGCTGCGTACGCCCGCCCATCTGCGCTCACCATGGCCAACATTCAGCAGCTGGTAGGAAGATGGCGCCTGGTGGACAGCCAAGGCTTTTGATGAATACATGAAGGAACTAGGTGAGGCACCCAGCCCCGCAGCGCCTGCAACGTGGCAGGTGCGGAGGGGTCGGGCCCGAGGCCCTGCACCGGCGAGCTGGGCTCCCGGGCGCAGGATGCTCGGTTCCCTAGCCCAGCCCCTCCCATCGCGCCACCACCACGTGGCCCTGGGTGCAGCGTGGCGCGGCACCACGCGGGCGAGCAGCCGGCAGAGCCCGGCGCGCGGCGGCCGCAGGATCCCGGAGATGCCCCGCTGCGTGCTCTGCGCTCGCTTCTGCCTCCTTTTTTTTTTTTTTTTTTTTTGCCCACGCGGCGGCAGATGGAGCCTTTGGCGTGCGCTCCCCGCTGCCCACGAAATGCACGTTTTCCTCCTTAACTTCCCCTCTTTTTCCTTCCCTCTCACTCGTGCTCCTCCTCGTGCCGCTATCCTGGCTTCACCCAGTGCGCTTTCCCACCCGGCCTCATCTTTTGTTCCTCGGTGGCGCCAGATCGCCTCCCTGCGCTCCACGGGGACGCGGTATGCCAGGGTGCCGTTTCCAGCGGCGACCCTGTAGGTTCTGAACGGAGCTCCCAGCCCTCAGCTCCCGTTCCACTCTCGTTCCCAACTCCCCCCGGTCCTCTGCCTGCCCGGCCCGCCCAAACCCCCGCGTGAGCCGAGCCCTGGGGATCGGCGCGGCTCGCGGCGGCGCTCGGGCGGGCTAGCTGCCTAGGAGGCGCGCAGAGAGACGAGGCCGCTAGCAGCGCCCCTCTGCTGCCCGGCACTGCCTGGCCGTGGCGCCGCGGTGGGTGGGTGGGTGGCCTGGGGTGACTGTGCTGTCTTCTGCCCTCTGGGTCTTGAGGGTGGAGATCGAGGAGGGCACAGTGGACGTGGTTGCAAAATACTCATCGGATGCTGCTGGCCTACAGCTGCTAACTGCATGCAAGATAGTTGTGGCATTGCAGAACCGAAAAGGCTCTGTTGGAAGATTCACCTTGTTTTGCTCCTTGCCTTTTGCGAAGCCAGTAACAGCGATTGCCTGCTGGTTGAGACATCAGGGAGATAGCAAACAAAAATGGGCCCTTGTCTCAGGCCGCTAGGAGGAAGTAGGATTTCCAGCCCCGAGGGCCCGCTGGAGCCAAGAGGGTGTTTCCGAAGCCAGTATCCCATGGTGCTAACCCTACAGCCCCTAGCTAAAGTCACTGCCATGGCTGTCTGTCCACACTTGTGGCTCCTTCCCTGGCCTTTATTCAGACAGCTGGGATGGAGGCTGGTGAGATATACTTAGAATGCTGACAGTGAGACCCGAAGGCAGTATTTTTATTTTTATTCAATGTAAACCTCCATAAAGATGACTCTGGGAGAAGCCATTTAATGCACTGATCCGAGAACTAAGTGTGTGTGTGCGCACACACACACACAGGTTTGAGGACTACATAGAGAACACTTCTCTGTCCCTTGGAAGCAAATGTGTGTGTTTAGAGCCCTGTGACTTTCAGAATGCTGCAGGCAGGAAGGCTGTCAAAGCTCACTTCACTGGGGGAACAGTCGAGGTTTGGGAGAGCAGAACCCGCTTATTTATCCACAGCGATAATAAATGATGACCAACAGCACAGGCCACCAGCCCGAGCCTGGCTGAGTGTTGCTCATTAGGATGGCCATGCTTTAGGTTGCAGTCTCTTCATGATCCAAGATCCTGTATGGATGTTAACATCAAGAGGAATGCACACATCATAAATGAATGTATAAATTAATATAAAATTTCATACCTAGAGAATTTGATATAGTAATTGAGTTTATGCAGTTTTAAATATTTTCTGTTTTTGAGGGTAAACTTTTTTCCATTAGCATTGTGCTTGCACTGCTAACGCTTAAAAATATTTGTTTATGTCAGGGTTGATTTCTATTTTGAGTGGCCTATTAATCAAATATTTATCAAAGGCCTTTTATGTCTCAGACTGTTTTCTGTAAGTGTGTCGCACAATGATAGAATCCAGTGTATAGAACACAACTGAGCAAGCTCCTGAGTTTGCAATTTTGAAGACTTTAGCTGCACCTTCTAACAACTAGTTTCAGTAAGTAAATTTTAGAAGGTCCTTATTTCTTCCCTAACTTTCTCCATGGATCAGCATAACATGATGACCAAGAGCTGGGATTTGGAGCCAAGTTGTTCACAGCTCCTGGGCTTCCTAGCTGAATGAGCGAGTCAGTTCAGTGACTCCGTGAAAGGGAGGCAGTAATATCCCCTCACTGAAGGGTTGCTGCAAGGTTTACATGAATTAACGTGTGCTGGTGCAGGCTGAGCACTAGGTACATGTCTACCGTCCTTATCAATAAGAGAAGAAATGAAAATATGCCAGGCAGAGGGATTACAAAGGAATTACTGCTTTTAGTCTGTAAATGAGACCTTTGGTCTTGCTGTTATTGAATGTGATACAACATTCTACAGGAGTGGGACTGGCTCTGAGAAAAATGGGTGGAATGGCCAAACCAGATTGTATCATCTCCTACGACGGCAAAAACCTCACCATCAAAACCGAGAGTACTTTGAAAACAACACAGTTTACTTGTGCCCTGGGAGAAAAATTTGAAGAAACTACAGCTGATGGCAGAAAAACTCAGGTCAGTCATAACATGTTATAAGATTGCAGAAGTTTCTAGAATGATAGGTTGTATTAATAACATTTTTACTGTTTACAGGCAAGAACTTATTGAAAAGGTTACCTTATGAGTTATGTTTTGACCAATTAGTCAAAGGGGCGGCTTCCTAGAATCTCTTTTGTGAGCTTCTAGATTGAAAAGCACAAACTGTATTAGGCAAAATATCAGTATGATTGATGCAGGAAACCCAGAAAGGAGAAGATGAAGAAAACATTTACCAAGAAGGGGCTGAGTCACGGAAACTCACTCTTTTGTAACGTACTTTGGAGGGTGAGAAAGTAAACTTTGTTTTGCAGACCGTCTGCACCTTCACAGATGACGCACTGGTTCAGCATCAGGAGTGGGATGGGAAGGAAAGCACCATCACAAGGAAGCTGCAAGATGGGAAGCTCATGGTGGTAAGCGCCTCCGCTGCACTTTGTTTGCTCTCAGTTAACCTAAGTGTCCTCATTGATCATCAACAGGAAACTAACTTAGGGCAGACAACAGTTGCAGAAAAGTGAGTTAAACAGAATACTGTTCATTCAGACAGACCTTGGTGGAGCCAGACAAAGTAGCAGGAACTATAGGAAGTCTTTGCTCAGCTGCTGTGTCACAGCACCATCTTGGCAGACTGCTGAATTGCCGTCCTGGGCATATATATTTCCATTTCCTTAAAGTACAGAATGTTATTTGCCAAGACCACATGAAAAATTGAGGTAGTCAACACTTTAGTTTTCCCAGAAACCCATGCACATCAAGCAAAACAACAGGTGCTGCCTTCTCTGAAACCCGTCTGTGAAGCAGATTGCAGGAGTTTGAAGGAGTCTGATAGTAACCTGTTATTACCCCCACTGCTCTGGAATATGACTCTCCTAATTCTTCAATCTCGTTCTTTGCCCTAGGACTGCGTCATGAACAATGTCACCTGTCATCGGGTCTATGAGAGAGCAGAATAAAAATTCCATCATTGCTTTGGACGGGAATTAGCTGCACAAATGAACGAGCTCAGTTCAATGAGCAAATCTCCATTTTGCTTCTTTTTTTTTTTCACGACTATGTTCAATTATCTTTATCACAAACCTTTTACATGCAACTATTCCAAAAGTGTTGGTTTAATTAAGATCATCCCTTTGGGTAGTCAATAAATGTGTTTGTGCTAATATATGTGGTAGATATTCTTTAAATTAATAGGAAATTCATGATAAGCTTTTTTTTTTTTTTTTTAATTTATTTGGAAGGCAGAGAGAGGAGAGGGAAAAAGAAATATCTTCCATTTACTATTTAACTCCCCAAAAGCCTGCAACAGCTGGGGCTGGGCCAGGTTGAAGTCAGGACTTTCATCCAGGTCTCCCATATAGATGACAGGAACTCAAGTACTTGGACCATCATCTGCTGCTGCTTCTCAGGCATGTTAGGAGGGAGCTGGATTGGAAGTGGAGCGACTGGGGCTTGAACTCAGTACTACATATGGAATGAGGGCATGGCATGCAGAGGCTTAACCTGTTGCACCACAATGCCAGCCCCGATAAGTTTTAATAGGTGAGAGTTGAATAAATTCTGGGGTAGCCTGGAGGGTGCTATCTTGAAACACATTCTATGAATTATATGTAGAGCTACTTTTACAGCAAATACAATATCAGTCATTTAAGCTTGCCCTGCACTATTTGAACTTTTTTTCAACTCAGGTCTTCATTTCTTTTGGGCATTTGTCATTAAAGGGTAGCATAAACTTTACATAGGAAAACAAATGTTAAGTTACCTCACTGATTAGGTCATATTTTTAGTGGTGTGCTTATAATTATGATTCAGGAATTCTGCAACTGAAAATTCATGTAGTAAACAGAATTTACCACATGCCAGGAGCTGTTCTAAAGGTTGAGCTATATCTGAACATGATGCATAAATTGTTGCCCTAGGGTGAGCAAACATTCCCAGACCCACAACTTTGGAAGAACACAATGTGCTCACGAACAAAACCCATAAAAGTAACACAGCTCTAAAATATTTGTGTGCATTTGCCACACATGTTACTGAAAGAACCACTGGAGAATTACAGTTAATCTGTCTGTGTCCCACATCTTGGACCCAACTACAAACATTCATAATTCTCATCTGAAGAGATAGGCTGCAGATCTTGGGCTAACACGTTTGTGTCTGTGGCCCACAAAGAAATAAGCAGTGGCTGGCACCAGGAGGGGCATTTAGCTTAGTGGGTAAGGTGCCTGCATCCCATGTGAGAGTGCCTGGGTTCATTTCCTGGCAGCAGGTGCTGGCTCCACGCATGGGGAAGACCAGAATTGCATTCTAGGCTCCTGCCTCTGGCCACTGTTGCCTCCCCAGCCAAAGCTGTAGAGGACCTTTGGGGAGTGAGCCAGTGGATGGAACCATTTCTGTCTTTTCCTCTGCCTCTCAAAAACAAACAAACAAAAAATCATGAGTGGCTGTCTGCTGACATCCCTATTCTGTAAATATCAGGGTACTTCAAAAAGGTAATGGAAAAATGGAATTAAGAGATAACATGTACTTTGGTGCAAAGAAATTTTCAGATCCATGCATAGTTTTTTCATAATCCACATTTCCTATTAGCTTTTTGAACACCCTTCATAAGAAAACAAGATTTTAACTAGTTGACGTACTCCTAGTAGAACTAGGTTGTGAACCTGTGTTTCACCAATGTGTTCTACAACACTGCCTCTTAGCTTGCACAGAGATCCTGAGTCTAAGGCTCCTAACTGTATTAAGTGAAGCATTCCTGCAACCACTGTCCATGTGCTAAGATGTTACCTGACAGAATCCTCTTTATTTTTAAAAATATTTATTTTCATCTACTTGAAAGACAGAGAGAGCTCTTTCATCTTCTGATTCACTACCCAAATGCTCACAGAGCCAGGGCTGGGTCAGGCGGAAGCCAGAGCGTGGAATTCTATCTGGGTCTTCCACATGGATTGTAGGGACACAAGCACTCATACTCAGGCTGTCATGTGCTGCGTCTATGCACCAGCAGGAAGCTGGATCAGAAGCAGAGGAGGCAGGATGTGAACAGATACTTGGATATGGGATGCAAGTGTCCCACATATCTTAACTGCTATGCCAAATGCTTACCCTGAGAATCTCAGGAATTTCCCAAACGAACAGTCATTGTAAGAGTTCAACTCTCACTAATAATCTAGTTCTGTGGTGTCTAGTATATAGCTATCAACCACTGAATGGCTAATCTGAATTGAGAAGTATAAATGGGATAAAACTCCTCTAATGCTTTTTTATATTGGTTGGATATCAAAATAGCATTTTTGGGTCTATGTCATTACCTAAATACATATTAATAAAATTAACTTTTTTTTAAATGTGGGTAGGGAAAATTGAAAAACTGCATGTTAGTTGCATTTTTACAATGATATTTTATTGGAAGATCTTGTCCTAGACTTCCTTGTTTTTTTAAAAAAAATATTACCTGAATGGCAGAGTGACAGGTAGGGAGACAGAGATTTTTCATTCAATGGTGCACTCCCCAAAGGCCCACAATAGCCTGGAGTGGGCCAGGTGGAAGTCAGGAGCCACATAGTCTATCCAGATCTCCCACTTGTGTGGCAGGGACCCAAGGACTTGAGCCATCATGTGCTACCTCCCAGGGCGCACATTAACCAGAAGTGAATTGGAAGCGGAGTTAATGGGACTTGAGCCAGACACTCTGATGTGGAATATGGGCATCCCAGCGGTGATTTAACCGGAGCCAAATGCCCATCACTAGACTTGCTTTCTGTGTGCATTTCCATCTTGTTATTCCAGTGTCCATGCCAGGGCTCTCTTTTACCCCTCTTTGTAGGGTTTTATTTTTATTGTTGTTTTTTGGACAGGCAGAGTGGACAGTGAGAGAGAGAGACAGAGAGAAAGGTCTTCCTTTGCTGTTGTTCACACTCCAATGGCCGCCGCGGCCGGCGTGCTGCGGCCGGCACACCGCGCTGATCCGATGGCAGGAGCCAGGTACTTCTCCTGGTCTCCCATGGGGTGCAGGGCCCAAGCACTTGGGCCATCCTCCACTGCACTCCCGGGCCACAGCAGAGAGCTGGCCTGGAAGAGGGGCAACCGGGACAGAATCCGGTGCCCCAACCAGGGCTAGAACCCGGTGTGCCGGTGCCGCAAGGCGGAGGATTAGCCTATTGAGCCGCGGCGCCAGCCTTCCTCTTTGTAGTTTTAATAATGTGTACTTTGATCCAATGTTCCCTTAACCAAACTCTGGGCCAGGTGCTTGAAGCACTTTATAATCCTCAGAACCACTCTAGTTGATGAAGGTTGATTATGATTTTCTGTATCATATAGATGGGGAAACTAGGGCTCAAAGTCCAGGTAATTGTGCAAGTAGAAGTCAAAGAGCAAACTGGAGCCCAGGTTTATCTGACTGCACAACTTGTACTACTAACTGCCTGTTCTGATGCCTACACTGCATCAGTGGGTGGGCTGTGGAGTATCTGCAGAGGGACTGTAACCCCGAGTTTCTCACATGGAGGAGCTGTTGACGTTTTGGGTGAAAGCACTTTGTGCTGGCCCATGGCAAGCATCATAGAACCTCTAGCATCCTACGATCATGGCCACAAAATGCCCACAGCACCCAGCAGTGAACCCCCAAATACCTCATACATTTCCATACATTTTCCTTCTTTGATATCTGCACTGCCTGCCATGCGAGCTCTGAGTTATCTGTGGTTGTGCACTAATCACTTGAAATGTGGTGAGGGCAATTTTAGAATTAAGTTTTGAATGTAGTTTTGATTAATTGAGATGTGGATTTAAAGACCCACATGTGTTAGCAACTGCTGAGCTGGACAGCACAGGGTGTTAACCTAATGTTTGCCAAAATCAAATTCCTTATTTTTTTTTAAATACCAAACCTGTTCTCCTTGCAGTATTCTCCATCCCCAATTCCTAGTAATGCCACCTTTCCAGTTCCCAGGCTACCTATGTTAGAGTTATCTCTGATTCATTGGTTCCTACCTAATTAGCTAATTCTTTCAATTTTACCTTCATAATGTATCTAGAATTCCATTACTTCCCACCTCTTCCAGAGATACCACCCTGTTCACATGCCACCATCACTTCTCCATTTCTGCTGGTCTACATCTTTATCCTCCCAGGGCCACCATTTGTAAAAACAAAACAGTTTAGACTATGACTCCTCCTTGAGAAACCCTCTACTGGCTTCTCATTTCACTGGGAGTAGAAGCCAAAGTCTTCACAAGATCCTCTCTGCTTTGCCGTGTCTCCCACCTGCCCATCACCTGCTCCTGGTTTCATTTCCATTTATTCTCTTCTCAGACATCCTCCAGCTGCACTAGCCATTGTTGATAAGCGTGCTTCTGCCCCTGGTGCTTTGCACCTGTCGTGGCCTCTGCCAGGAGGAATCTTCCTCATGCTATCTGCAGCCCACGCTTTCTCACTTCCTTGAGGTCTCTTTAAATGTCACCCTAGCAGTGAGTCATCGCCAGACCACACTCTTTAGAAGCTTCCAGCCCCCTCCTTTCTTCTCAATTCCCCACACACTGCTTTATTTTTCCCCATAGCCCTTCCTCTCTTCTTGTTTTTCAAGTTTCTGGTTATTATTGCTCTTCCCCACTGGAAATTCCTAAGCTTTGTGAAGAAGGAGCTTTATTTCTGCAGTGTTGTCCTTCTCTCTCTCTCGCACTCAATCAGGAGATACCATAGCATGCAGAATATGCCTAATAAATAGTTGTTGAGTGAACAAATCCATTCATAAATTAATATCTTTTTCATGCCCATTTAACACATCTCAGTATCCTTTAAGACCCTTTAGGCTACTGCTGCTGCTGCAACTTACTGTATTTTTTAAACTCATTTTTCGTAACTTTATGCCAATTGTTCAATGTTACCCTAAGCGTCATGTGTTTGGTGACTATAGGATGGCATATTTGACACAGGAAGTGAGGAATCCAGCCTTGCTACTGAGCTGGTGTTTTTTGGTACTCTGCTCTCCCAGGAAATTGACTACTTGGGTTTTAAAATTATTAATATTATCATTAATTTTTTATTTATTTGAAAGGCAGGGGGAAGAAAGTGGGGGGGGGGAGATCTTATATTCACTGGTTCACTCCCCAAATGCCTGCAACAGTTAGGGCTGGGCCAGGCTAAAGCCAGGAAGCCAGGAGCCCC